TTAGGTGGCCAAAGTATCTGAGCTTGAGCTTCATTATCAATCCTTCCAATGAGCAGTCAGCTTTCTGCTACACATGTGTATTAAAATGGAATTATTCTTATCAGTTTTATATGGATATTTTCTCTTTTTAAGTCTTATTGCTTATGTACCTTTCTTGCTTTGACTAATATCAGCTTCTGCACAAGCATGCTTTCAAAATCAAAATGCCCTTGTTAGAAGGGAAGAAGCACTAAAACCTATTTTTTTTCTTTCAATACTCCACTTGATTCTAATAATGGTACACAAATGAATCACCATTTTCAATATTTTTCATCTAATTTTCCCCTACATTCTTCAATTTCCCTTTGTGTCATCACAGTAAACTGTTTAGATACTGGAATCATTTTCTGAAAGCAACCTATGAGCATAGAAATCATAATACTGATACATTGTATGGAACAGCAAAGCAATACTAGTATTACAGTAATACTAATGGCTATAACTGCTAATTGTCATAACCAACCAAAGTCAGGTAGTGAAGTCCACAAAGATTCCCACCAAGATACATCCTTCAATATGGTTGTAAGCTTGGCTAACTACTATTAATCTTATAATTATCTATATAACAGCAGCACTCAGTAGGGTTAATGTAAGCACAGGTGCCCCTTGGGCAGCCAACAATTAGAAATGTTAGCATACTCAGCAGAAAATTGAATAAATCTAGTAAAATAATGATCCTCTAATGGTTTGTGGTTGGCAACTGGCTGTGATAAAAAGGACCTAAAGGTTAAAGGAGATGTACAATTATTAAACCAGAAAACTGATTTGGATAACTTTCTCTTATTGGATGAACAAAAAAGTCTGTTCAAGTTTTGAAAGATTCTTGGGGGGAAAAAAGATGAACAGAAATCAAGCTCTGGGATTATATTTGCAGGGGTTAAAAATAAGATTGTTAAAAGTACAGGGGAGGAATACAGGGTTGGCTTATTTGATCAAGGTTAAAATAGATAATTATGTCTGGTATCCCTTACTGGAATTTTGTTGATAAGGAACAAATGACAAGGCTTTTGGATTCTGTCTTTAGTCAAGAGATGAGTTATGGGGTGAAGAGAATATATGTTGTATTAAGAGATGGTGATAAACTACTAACATTGTTTTTACTTGCTGGGATGAAGGGGGAAGTTACTTCTTTCCTTTTTTTTTTCACACTTTTTTTCCGCTTTCTTTTTGTATTCCTACATTTTTTGTAGTTTGTATTAATTCTTATTCTTTCTACTTGTAATTCTTAATAAAACTATTTGAAAAAAAAAGAACACAGCCAAAATTGGCAACTGCAGAAATCTATAAAGTCTGTAAAGAAGCCGTCATCAGGGAGTGAATGGCCAGTAGTATTATTGCATTGAACTTTTCCTAATTAATTTTTCTTTTTAACCTGCTCATTCCATGGCTGAGAACAAAGTTTCCCTAGCTTTTAAAAATGCTTACCGATCTGCATCTAGGTTATAATCCCAATTGGGTTTGGCCTGTGGTCATGGGGAAGCATTACTTCCAGCTTCTTGTTCTACTTTAACAGCTGATTCTAAAATGGCTGCTCTTTCATCAGTAGTAAGTAAAGCTTCCATTAATTTTGTTATATCTGCCCAAACTGGATTGTGGGTGCACACAATAGTTTGGAAGATTTAATTAATCCTGTCATAGGATTCTTTCTAAAATAGGAGACTGCTGCCACAAAATTATGTTTCCTGGAGAAAATGGTGTATGGACTCTCATTGCCTGTGGAGTACCTTGTCCAACTGATGGCAAATACTTGTCTTTTCTGAGCAAATTCCATCAGGCAATTCAATCCAGCAATCTCAGTAGTACATTGGCACTGAGTTTTCTAATCTAAATCTTAAATTTCAAAGGCAGCCATGTCCCCCGTTCTGAACACATTTGATTTCCTGCATTGTCTTTCAAACTTGGAAGATTGATGTCAGCCCTCTCAGGTAAACAGACAGGAAGCACACCCAGATGACCTAGTTCAACATTATTGTTAGGCTATGTTAACAGAAGCTTGCAAGTCTGAAAGTACAAATCTCCCACTGTCCCTTTTTGCCACCTGATTTGTTAGGGTGGATCCTTTCTAAGTTACTTTCTCTGCCTGTTACTCAGTTGTGGGCTCCTCACCCTTTTATCTGACCGTTCCCTATGCAGCATCTCTTCCCCCTGTTTTCCAAGGTCATTCTCACATTCCATTACAGAAAGTACAATCCTTTCCTGGTTTTCTTTACAGCCCGAGAAACTAGGGAGGGTCTCTTCTGAGCCTCTTGCCCTGTCCACTATCCAGCTGCAGGCTATGCTGTCTCCTATCTGACTATTCCCTTGGCAGAGTCTCTTTGCCCAGTCTGCCAAGGTCTTTTCCACATACCATTACATTTCCCCCACCCCATGACTGCATTACCTAAACAAATAGACACATCAAGTGTTGCACCCAGGTTGGTTCTTAAATCATGTGTGAAATAGTTCTCCTGATAGCGGTTCAAATCTGAACCTCCTGATCTTCCATTTATTTGTTTGTTTGTTTGTTTGTAGGGTGCCGTGACTGTTTGGGGAAGCCTTTGGCCCAGATGGAGCTCTTCATTTTCTTTACCAACCTTATGAAAACATTCACCTTTCAGCAGCCAGAAGGAATGAAGGAAGTTAACATGGAGTCTGTAATAGGGGGCGGGATGCAACTTCACCCACTGAAAATCTGTGCAATTTCTCATTAGCCTGCAGCACCATCAGTGGTGGATTTGTTGCAATGGGTTTTGATTCTCCTGTGGCTTAATTTTATCAGTTACTGCTGATGTCTCCATTTCATAGTTTTGCTCCATGATATATATTTATGAAGTCTTCATACACACATTGCCATATTTATCCAAGATGAAGGACTCAGATTGAAGATGATTCCTCCAAATAGGAAGAGTAGGCTAGAAAAATAACAAGAACAGCAAAAAACACACAGTTTATTAGGGAAGACTTGGGGTAATTGCTGGTGTGCTGCCTTCCCTGCTGCCAGCATCATCCCCTGCTGGATTCTGTGGCTGAGCTGGGAATAGAGTCCCTGAGGCTGTTGGTGCTCAGGTGTTTCAGGCTGCCACCCAGTGGCATAGAGTCTGGAGTGGCACAGGAGTTCATGGCCTCCATGGCCTCCATGGCAACCATGGACCTGTCCCAAGTTATCAATGGCCCAATGCATACTGGGGGTTGCATGTTACATTTGGGTGACTGATGGGGTTCCAGCGGGAGGTTGGGTTTTCCCTGAAGATTTGGGTGAGGCCTTGGGATGGGCAAGTGATGGAAACGGAGTGTATCACCCTTATGTGGGCTCTCCTTGTGCGCCAATCCTGGGCTCATCTTGATTTATTGGAGAGCTCTGGGAGATGAAGTGCCAGGAGAAATGCCTGGAGCACCATTGGAGGAAGACTCAGAGGGAGTATGACTGAACATGGATAAGAGCCCATTTTAGGGATTACCTTGAGGCAATAATGGTGGTGAAAAGTCAATAGCTGTCCAGAGACTCTGTTCAGGATGACCAGTCCCTATTGGGTAGGGACGGGCCATAGCAGGGCTACTGTGAGGAATATTCTGGCTATCTGGTAGATAGGGTTGCTCAGATCCACTCCAACTTGGACTCTGACTGGACAGGTCCAGTTGAAGTGCCTGGGATGAGTTTGAACCAGTGACTCCTGAGGAAGTGGGCAGGGTTCTCTGTGCTGTTAGCTTGGCCACCTGTCTGCTGGATCCAGGTCCCTCCTGGATCGTGAAAGTGGCCAGGGAGGTAACCTGTAGTTGGGTCCATGATGTTGTTGCCTTGAAACTCAGGTACCCAAGTGGCATGGAGCTGGAAAGAACCCTGAATTTGAGAAAGAGACACTCAATACCCTTGCAAAATGTTTTTTTTCGTCCCCCTGACAGTATGCACCACAAGTTCTTCAGGCAAAGTGAAAAGTTTTTATTAAGGGGGGGGGGGAGCCAAGTCTTTATATACGGTACAGAAACAAATGATACATACATTCAGCATATGTGATGCATCAGGAAGCAACAAATCAACCAATAAGAGACATTGATTAGACATGTCTTACTTCCTCGTGAGATGGGCGGTGTCTAAATTCGAAATATAAATAAATAAATAAATAAATAAATAAATAAATAAGAATTAAGCAATAGAAAACATTGATCCTAGATAACGTTCCACAAGCGGCAATTCCCCCCCCCCAGTCAAGTTTCTTTCTCTCTTAACACTTGCAAGTATATTCAGGGACTTCAGAATATGCTCCCTATTCAGTTTCTGAAAAGGCTAGCTTTCACGCATCAAAGGAAAAGGCCTTGGCTGAAAAACTGGTTTCCTAAAATTAGAAAAAGAGGCCTTGACTACATGGTGGCTAAAATTCTACTGAGAGGCTGGGCATATAATCCTCCCATTATATTGCCAATATGTACCCCCCCCCACTGGGTAACTTGCATACACACGCCAATAGGTGGCAG